ATTTTCATTAAAATTTCTTGACAGTACCCCCCCCAGTCTATCATCCACTCTCCTTTTGCACTCTTACCACTGTCTTCACCTTTCTTTTACTCTCCATATACTCTACTCTTCTTATAACACTTCTGCTTTGTAAATACCTCTCATAAGCTACCTTTTTCTCTTGTATCATACCCTTTACTTCATCATTCCACCAATTACTCCTCTTTCCTCCTGCACCCACCTTCCTATAACCACAAACTTCTGCCCTGCATTCTAATACTGCATTTTTGAAACTATTCCAACCCTCCAACTACTCATACCTGCACCAGCCCACCTTTCTGCCAATAGTTGATTATATTTCACCTGAACTTCCTCCTCCCCTTGTTTATACACTTTCACCTCCCTCTTACTTCTTGTTGCCATTTTCCTCTTATCCCATCTACCTCTTACTCTAACTGTAGCTACAACTAGATAATGATCCGATATATCAGCTGCCCCTCTATATGTGTACATCCTGGAGCCTACCCATCAACCTTTTATCCATGAATACATAATCTAACAAACTACTTTCATTATTTGCTACATCATACCTTGTACATTTATTTATCCTGTTTTTCATCAAATATGTGTTACTTATTACCAAACATCTTTCTACACATAGCTCAATTAAAGGCTCCTCATTTTCATTTACCCCTGGCATCCCAAATTTACCTACTACTCCCTCCACATTTTTACCCACTGTAGCATTAAAATCCCAAACCACAAGTACTCTCACACTTGGTTCAAAACTCCCCACGCATTCACTCGACATTTCCCAAAATCTCTCTCTCTCCTCTATACTTCTCTCTTCACCAGGTGCATATACGCTTACTATAACCAACTTCTCACATCCAACCTTTATTTTACTCCACATAATCCTTGAATTAATACATTTATAGTCCCTCTTTTCCTGCCATAGCTTATCCTTCAACATTATTCTTTTTAGTGCTTGCAACTGCTAAATAAACCATCATGGGCCCAAAGAAAGCTTCAAGTGTCAGTCAGCCCTTTGGTAAAGGGCTGAGAGAGAGGGAAGAACACGCCTTTTTCAGTGATTCTGCAATACGTACGATACTTAAGCAGCAGGAGTCCATAAAGGCTATAGCACCAGCCAGCAATAAAGTGTAGCATTAACAGTGTAGCAAGTTAAGCGATTCATCGATAGAAAAAGGACAGCACGAAACTGACTCCTCCATTGTTGTTGGAGGTATATAGGGCTACTGACTAACACCACCGCCTCTGCTACTGCCTTCACCACAACTATGTAAGACTCGTCTTTCAGTGGCCCTTATACACCCAACAACAAACACACCACCACTCGTGACATTCTTTTATTCATTCTAGAGTGTATTCCATGTTATTAATATTGTTTATTATGTCATATTAGATGAATTGTGCTAGATAAATAAGCTGTAGAACTGATATTAGTGTCATATTGAAGGACTATTCTTAACATATGTCAGAAACAGACTTCTCTGGAACACTTTTTTGAGCGATAGTGGTCCAGTGACTCAAGCTGGTCCTAGTGGCATTAAAAAACAAAGGAGGGAAGTAACCCAGGATAAGGACTTGGTACCTGAAGTCTTTATGGAAGGGGATTCCCCTTCCAAACAATCTTAAACTCCTCCATCCTCTCCCCTTCTCCCGTCTTCCATACATCACCATGTCTTCAATAAAGGCAAGTGTAATGTTATTATTGTTTTATTCTTAATGTATCATTGTTTTCTGTGTAGGTAAATGTATATTTCATGTAGAAAACATTTTTTTAATACTTTTGGGCGTCTGAAACGGATTAATTGGATTTCCATTATTTCTCATGGGGAAAATTAATTCGGAATAAGTCAGATTTGGGATAAGTCACTCTCTCTGGAACGGATTAATTACGTAATCTGGGGGTCCACTGTATTGTGTGTAATTTGATATTGGAAATTAGATTGGAGGGAGTATGGAAGAAGTAAATGCATTCAGATATTTGGGAGTGGATGTGGCAGTTGGTTTTTTGAGAGATTAAGTGAACCACAGAACTGAAGGAAAGAAAAGGTTGGCAGTACACTGAGGCATCTGTGGAACAAAATTTTATCCATGGAGGCAAAAGTCAGAATGTACCAATATGTAGTGGTACTAACACTTAAATGGGTGTTAAGCATGGGTATTGAGTGTTGCAGCGAGGAGGAGGCTGGAGGCAGTCAAGATGTCGTGTTTGGGGGAGGCAATGTTTGGTGTGAATATTATGTAGAGAATTCAGAGTTTGAAGATTAGGAGTCACCAAAAGTATTATTCAGACGGTTGAGGAGGGGTTATTTAGGTGGTCTGGATATTTAGAGAGGACGGATTATTATTATAATCAAAAAGAAGCACTAAGCCACAAGGGCTATACAGCGCTGCAGGGCAGGAAGGAAGCGAGGGCATCAGGTGGCAAAAGGGAGGTGGACAAGTAATAGGTTATGGATAACAGCGGAGCAGTGGATGGTGAAAGGGTAAAGGGCAGCAAGAGACTGAGCTAGAAAGGGCTGAGGGGAGTGCGTATGATATCATCATCAGAGTTTGTGGAGTAAATCAGTCGTTGTCAAGAAGTCAATGAGAGAGTCAGGATTAAAGGAGGGTCCATCAGCAAGAAGGGAAGGTAAAGAGAGAGTAGTAGAACGAAGACGGCGTTGGAGGTAAATTCTGCGTGCTCGTTGATAGAGAGGGCAGTCTAACAGAATGTGGCTAATCGATACAGGAACTTGACACTGCTCACAGAGAGGTACAGGGTGCCTCTCCACGAGATACCCGTGAGTAAGACGAGTATGGCCAATGCGAAGACGGGAGAGAGTGGTCTCCCAACCACGGCACTGATGACAAGAAGACGGCCAGTAACCTATGCTCGGTTTAATAGAATGAAGTTTGTTACCAAGCAGAGTTGACCAACGTTGTTGCCAACAGGCGTGAAGGTGGGTAGCTATTGCAGCAAAATAGTCCAGAAATGGAACACCTCGATAGGAAATTGGTAGGTCATGTACTGCTGACCGCGCAGCAGTGTCTGCCTGTTCATTGCCCTGTATGTCGACATGTCCAGGGACCCAACAAAAAATAATATCTTTATGCTTCGTAGAGATACGGCGTAGCCAAAGTTGGATACGGAGAACTAGGGGGTGAGATGTATCAAATTTTCGTATAGCCTGTAGAGCACTAAGGGAGTCTGAGACTACCACAAATGATGACACAGGCATAGATGCGATACGAATAAGTGCTGCAAGAATGGCATACAATTCAGCAGTAAAAATGCTAGCCGAAGATAGTAAATGCCCCCGCACGACGCTGTCCGGAAACACTGCTGCGAATCCGACGCCGTCTGAAGACTTAGAGCCATCTGTGTACACAGCGATGGCATGAGAATGGAGTGGAAGTGATCAAGAAAAAGAGAGCGGGAAGCCACCGTAGGCAGTTGAGCTTTCGAGCACGGAGATGAGAAAGAACAGACCCGAACAGCTGGAACTTCCCAGGGGGGTAGGGAAAAGTGAGATGCTACATGAACATATAAAGGTGGTAACTGAAGGGAAGACAAGAGTGAATGTAGGTGAAGAGAAAAGGGACGGAGCAAACAGGGGTGGCGAACGAATAAAGAATGTCTACTAATATCGGTGACCATTCTATAAATGGAAGGATTGTGGAGATTGTGAGAGCGTACATAGTAGCGAAGGCAATGGGCATCACGGCGATCAGACAAGGATGGAACATTCGCTTCTGCATAGAGGCTCTCAACAGGGGAAGAGCGAAAAGCACCAAGGCACAAACGTAATCCTTGGTGATGGATAGGGTTAAGGCTAGAGAGAGTAGCAGGAGAGGCCGCTGAATAAATCTGGTCACCATAATCGAGTTTCGATAAAACGAGGGCTGAATGCAGGCGAAGCAGAGTTCGACGATCAGCTCCCCAGGAAAGATGAGCAAGGGCTTTAAGAAGGTTTAGCCGGCTGTGACAAGTTGCCTTCAGAGAGGTAATGCGAGGTTTCCAGGATAACCTACGGTCAAAGAGAAGGCCTAGAAACCTGACTGTATCACGTTCGGGGATACGGGAGCCATAGAGATACAAAGGATGATCGGAGATGACAGAGCATCTAGTGAAAGTAATTTGGCGAGTTTTGGTACTTGAAAATTTAAACCCATGCGTGGTGGCCCAAGTGGAAACACGGTCGACCGCATGCTGGAGAGAAACTGCAATGAGATGAGTCAGCGCCTGCACAAGCAATAGCAAAGTCATCAACAGAGTGATGACCAAATATTGGGTGGAAGAACAGAGGTTAAATCATTTATAGCAAGGAGAAAAAGTGTTGTGCTTAGAACACATCCCTGGGGGACACCTTCAGCTTGGACGAAGTCTGGGGAAAGAACATTATTGACTCGAACACGGAAATGTCTGTCAGTTAAAAAGTTCTTAAGGAAGGATGGTAGATTGCCTAGAGAGGACGGAGAAAAAGATGACTAGGAGGGCATATAAATTGAGGGTAGGAGAAAGGAGGGGGTTGGGGGTCATCCAAGGAAATGTTGGATGGAGGGGATAAAGGAGGTTTTTAGTGTTAAGGGCTTGAATATCTAACAAGCTTGTGCAAGTGTGTTTGATAGAAGCACGCGACAGCAAGTAGTTTTTATTTGACATGCTGTTGGAGTGTGAGAAAGGTAATATTTATGAAGGGATTCTGGGAAACCAGTTAGCCAGACTAGTCATAGGGATGGGAAGTACTGTGCCTGCATTCTGAAGGACATGTGGGGATGTTGGGGTTTGGAAGGTTATATGAACTGTGATGTCACTTTTCTGGCAAGACAGTGATTGAGTGAGCAACAGTAAAGGTTTTTTCTTTGTTGGGTCACCCTATCTTGGTGGGAGACAGCCAGAACTTTGTTAAAAAAGACGAGAAAAAGAAAGACTTCTCTTTTGATGCTAGGCATTCTTCCACCAAAGGTAATGAGAGGAACTACCTTATTTATACAAAACTGAAATTTACCTTGAAAGTGCCAATATATTTCCCAGTGTATAGAAAACTGCAAATAAGATGAATCCTCCTGGCAAGAAGAGAAGTGCTGATCCCAGAATGGAGAATAAAAAGCCAAGAGCAAAGCATATTGCAAAGCCTTTAACTCTTGTGTTCCAGCTGAGACTACTGTTGTCAATCACCTGTAAATGAAAAAATTAAATGAAACTCTTGTCTTGTACATACAATACATATACGGTACATTCAGCATATAAATACTGTGAACCATACCCCCGGCCGGGATTGAACCCGCGGTCATAGAGACTATGACCGCGGGTTCAATCCCGGCCGGGGATATGGTTTATTTGCAATCGTGTCATTACGATTTCTTGAGTCATATAAATACTGTGTATCTATAGGCGTGCCTGTATGTCATGCTTAACATTCTAGTCAAACAAGCTGACCTACTGCATTAACACTGTATGCAAATTTTAAATTTTGCACCAAAACTTAATATAATCCAACACTACTAAAAATTACCAGAATATAACTCACTCCTATATAAGACCAGTCAAATTTTAGTTTTGTTACCATTATCAAACGTCATGAAATATATAAATTTCACTATGTTTAGAACTTTAGACTGATATTTGCAGCTAATGCAATACTGAATTCATTTTTTTTTTTTTTTGGTCAGAGCAGTTTGCTGAATGAGCAAAGTAAAGTTCAATTTAAGAAGCACTACATACTGTAGATACATTACCAGCCATCAGTTGGCATTTTATTTAAAAAATGTGGCACTAGACAAATTTATCTTACGAGATATAATTTTTTTAAATGAGCAAGAAAAAAATTGTCGATGCACTGAAGGTTGGAGATGGCTGTAGCATTATTAAGTGTTCAGTTGTAATAGCCTGAGGGCCATTGTTTGGTTGAGGGGCTGCAATGTCCCTAGTCACTGTTGGGTAGAAGGGTTTCACTGGCACTAGGGATGCATTAAGCCAACTAACAAAACTCAATCTTATTATAAATGCAGCAAATCCTCCATTTAACTTACTTCAGAAATATGGAACAAAATTTGGTGTTGGTAGATTTGGAAACAACAGTCTTTTGGTTGCAGAACAATTCTTTATAATTGTGACAAACTCCCTTATCTATCACAAGTGTCACTGGCCACTACCTTCCCCTTTAGTCAGTTATATGGGGGGTTTACGGTGGTTTATTTCGTTAAAATGTCATTCACTATTTACTATAATAATTAACATTTACAATACTTATTACAAGTTTATTTTTTCATATTTTAATTGAGGGATAGGGAATGAGAGGAGAACCACTAAACCAGTAGGTGTCATATAGCACCTAGGGAATAGGAGACAATCATGTTTGATCCAGGGAAGGGTGGTCAAATCCAGTACCTTGGATGAAGAGGTCGTCACTAATATCAAAGCCCTTCCCTTGAGGGGTGTAATACTGTAGAAACTTTAAATGTAACTGAATAAAAATACCAAGCTTGACTTATGGCCCCTCAAGGAAGGGTCCTTGATAGCAGTGAAAGGGTTCTTGATGCAAGGAAATGAAACTGTTCTTCCCTTCCTTGGATCAAATCCGATTGCCTCCCATTCCCTAGGCATCATATGACTATATTGGTTTAGTGTTTCCCCTTAACCCTTAAACTGTCCAAACGTAGATCTATGTTCATGGGGTGGGGGGGGGGGGGGGGGGCTCAGAACGTAGATTTTTTTTTTTAGATGCTTTCTACGTGAACGTAGATCTACGTTTGGACAGTTTAAGGGTTAAATATAATAATAATAATTGATTTATGAGAGGCCCTAAATAAACTGATTTTTGGGGAGACTGAATTTTTTTTTTTTTTTAGACCGAGCTTAACTTATAGCTGGTGAAGTAATTAATATTATATAGACATATACCGTACACAATGTATAAATATAAAAAGTTACTATTACAATCATAATAATGGCATTACCAATGATCCCAAACTTTATAATATATATACAGTGCACCATACATGAGTATTCCAAAGTTGGCTGTTTACTTAGATAATGCTACTAGGAGGGAAAACAGTTATACTTTTTCACTTAACTTTAGTTCTCTGATAACATACAATTTATAATACAACTTAAAATTATACAGATAATCACGGAAGCCAAGCTGGAAATTATAATCAAAGCAAGCAATAAACCAACAAGGGTGTAAGCTGGAAATTAATATAGGAAAATTCTGAATGGGATGCTGATGCTTGTACAACACTGAGGCAAGGGATGTGGGGGGACTCCAAGAACACAAGCAATGAACATATTAAGAATGATGGAGCAGAGGAACTGGAAATGATCAAATACAAAAGTTCCCATAAAATTTGTTGTAAGAAGATAAAAATCCAACACATTCAGCTAAGCTAGTGAATTAACAGTCATTACTCAACCCACTAATTGGAGATTATCATTATATTTGTGGGGAGTAGGAGTGTTAGACCTGAAGAGGTCATACAGTGCCTGGGAAAATGGGAGGCAATTAGGTTCAATCCAAAAGAAAATAAAGTCCAATTCCTTGGATCAAGCTCCCCTCAATGTCATCAAAGAACCTTCCTTGAGAGGAAACTGGATATGAAACTACCATAGACTATCTGTTCTGAGCCATAAAGTTTTTTTAGTTTCTTCAATTTGTAGGTTAACCCTTTGACTGTTTCAGTCGTATATATACGTCTTACGTGCCCGTTTCGGACGTATTTAAACGCGTAAATTCTAGCGGCTTCAAATCAAGCAGGAGAAAGCTGGTAGGCCCACATGATAGAATGGGTCTGTGTGGTCAGTGTGCACCACAAAAAAAATTCTGCAGCACGCAGTGCATAATGAGAAAAAAAAATGACCATTTTTTTTGGATTAAAATGCCGACTTTGAGGTGTATTTTCGTATAGTATTTGTTGTTGTATTCTCGTTTTCATGGTCTCACGTGATAAAATGGAAATCATATTACAGAAATAGAGATGATTTTGATTACTTTCTTGATGAAAACGACCTTGAAATTGAGCTCAAAGTAGCGGAAATGTTCAATTTTTACCAATGTTCAAGAGTAAGCAAATCACACCACAGTCCAATACACGTCAACTGGGGAGTCTAATATTCTTTCACTAGTGCACTGATATTATTTATACCATTTTTACAATAATGCAGTAGTCTGCATAACAGTAAATTTTGTATTTTTTGTACGAATAAAAAATCAAAATAGAAAGCAATAGTAATATAAGAGGGGCTTAGAGACGTGACTAATGAACAGAGGATGTTATTTTAGTGTCAAGAATGTCTACACTGTTTATTCTGGACCCTATTTTGAAATTGGCATCTTTTTTATTTTGCACGAAATTGGCCAAATTGCCAATTTCTGACCACTTTATTGAGTAGTTCAAATCGGTAAATGGGTGGTTTCTTATACTCAACTGATAGAAAAAATGGAGTTCTAAAGAAATAGCTATGAGTTTGGTCAACTGGAACAACGAAACTGGTCAAAAACAGGGCTCAAAGTCGGCAAAATCGCCGATGTGTATATGTCGCCGAGACCGCTAACTTCGCGGGAGCGTAATTCCACGAGTTTTCGACCAAATTTCGCACTTTTGGTGTCATTACCATCGGGAAAAGATTCTCTATCATTTCATAAGAAAAAGTAATTTTTTTTTTTCCCAAGAATTTTGCGACATCGAATGACACTTTCAGAAAGGGGCTTGCGACAGTCAAAGGGTTAATAGTCAACTGTTCCAGCCATAGTACTGAGACTTTTATACAGTACGTACTTAATTCCCATTATATTATTAGAACTATGCATATACTATACTTCATTCTCAGCCACCGCATAGGTTACTACAGTATTATTTATTAATTTTACATTGTCATTTCCATCTGTTACTTCATTAATAATTTGTAAAATATTCTTGTAGGCTCAACTCATTTCACAATACAGTATTTTTTTTTTTTTTTTTTTTTTATAGATTTTTAAGAAGTCACTGAAGTGACAGAGCAGATATTTAATACACAGGCATACTCTGCTTCATAACCCATACTTGTTCCACAATAACAAAATTCAACATTTTTTTTTCTTTTCATGAGCCTAACATTAAAACTGTCATGGCATGTAGTGCACTGGCAACTAAACCACATCACTAAACTTTAACATGCACTTTTCTAGTAAATTATGAATTCTGTATTACCTAATATTATACATTAATAAAAGTAAGAAAATGAAGTTCTATAAAATTACTCCTGTACTTACTTATGGATGTAACATCATATCACAGGGCATTTGCTATTAAATAACAAGAAAATATAGTTAAAAGATAGAAGACATATGTGATGCCAAGTATAATAATTTAATGCAATTAAATAGCTTGTCATAAAAAATAATTATCTGAAACTTTTTTTTCTTTATCTTGATAAGAGATTTTGTAATTTTTACTGGGTTCCAAACTGTGACCAGATGCATTTAATAGTAAATGGTTTTAGAACTAAAATAAATATCAGTGTCCCTTCTTATCCTAAAATGCATTCAAAAATACAGTAAAACCTCTCATTAATGGATTTTGGCAATGAAAAAAAAAAAAAAAAAGAAATGTTGGAACCATCAGACAAACTGGAAAAAAGTTAGTAAATCCAGATTTTGTCTGTAGAGATGGTGTCTAGTCTTCTAAAGCATTAGATCAAGTCTGATAACTGGAAATCATGCAGTATGGGGCAGAGTGGCCATGTCTAGAATCTGTTTTCTTTGTTTCCTGAGCTGTAAGCCTCCTGTGCCAGTTTGTGCTCACTCGTGCAGAAACCTGAACCAAGTTTTAGGTCTCAGTGGCATGGGTATGCGAGGAATTTAACGTTAAGAAATTAACATTTGTAAAAGCAAGGACAGGCTTACAGATGTGCTCTTAAGTTTAGTGGAGATGCGAGCCATAAAGGTTCAACAGTTACCTCCAGAAAACAAAAGAAAATGGCCCATAATAAAAAGCTTGGAGAAGCAGGGTGTAAATGGTCCATTCAACAATGGTCTCCTGGTGTTAACCCTTTGACTGTTTTGGTCATATACATACGTCTTATGAGCCACCGTTTTTGACATATATAAATTCTAGTGGCGTCAAATCAAGCAGGAGAAAGCTGGTAGGCCCACATTTGAGAGAATGGGTCTGTGTGGTCAGTGTGCACCATATAAAAAAAAATCCTGCAGCACGCAGTGCATAATGAGACGAAAAAATCTGACCATTTTTTTAATTAAAATGGAGAGTTTGTGGTCTATTTTCGTATAGTATTTATGGTTGTATTCTCGTTTTCTTGGTCTCCTTTGATAGAATGGAAAACATATTATAGAAATAGAGGTGATTTTGACTGTTTTTACTATGAAAAGAACCTTGAAATGAAGCTCAAAGTAGGGGAAATGTTTGATTTTTGCCGATGTTCAAAAGTAAACAAATGATGTCATTTTCTAATAAATGTCAAAGTAGCCATTCTAATATGCAGTCATGAATGGGTTGACATTTATACAATTATTACAATATTGCAGTATTCTGCATAACAGTAAATCTTCTATTTTTCGTTTGAATAAAGATTCAAAATAGAAAGCAAGAGAAATATCAGAGGGGCCTGGAGACGTGACTGATGAACAAAGAAAATGTTATTTTAGAGCCAGGAATGTCTGCATTGTTCATTCTGGACCCTATTTTTTAATTTTTGTGACATTGGCCAAATTACAAATTTCTGACCACGTTATTGGGTAGTTGAAATCGATAAATGGGCAGTTTCTTGTACAAAATCGATAGAAAAAATGGAGTTCTAAAGAAATAACTGAGTTTTGTTGACTGGAACAATGGAATTAGCCAAAAATAGGGCTCAAAGTGGGCGAAATCGCCGATTCATAAATATCACCGAGGTCGCTAACTTTGCGAGAGCGCAATTCCGTCAGTTTTCCATCAAATTTCGTTCTGTTGATGTCATTACAATAGGGAAAAGATTCTCTATCATTTCACAAGAAAAAATTTTTTTTTTTTTTTTTGAAATTTTGCAACACCAGGATTTGGGGTTGCGACAATCAGGGGGTTAATATTTATGGTGTTACTCTTTGCTCTGCTGCTCATATACGTACTAGCAAAGCATATGAACAGACATCTACATACATTATTTTCACTAGTAGAGATTTACAGATCCTCTGACTCAGAATAAAAGTTATTCAGAGTCAAAGCAGTTTACATTTTGTTTCACCACGAAAAAGTAATTAAAACCTTTTCGGATGTCTTCTGAACCAGAAGACTTGGTCTACTGATTCAGAAGACCACCAGATGATCATGAAAAAAGTATTTCAGAATTTGGAAGTGTTGGACAGCTGGACACTTATAACTCCATTAATTAGAGGGTTCACTGTACCACTGTAAAAATGATGCTTTAAATTAAACAGTATTCCTAAACTAAACTTTTGATGTGTCTATCATACAAGAACTTGCAATATCTGGTCATTAGAAACCAAGCTTTTCTTTATGCAAATACAGTTTTCGGATAGAAGGCAAAATTAAGGATAATTTTAATACTCTTAAGGCACATGCAAAGATAATGCAATTAGAAAAATGCTAATGTACAATGAAATGCACAATGATGCACTATATCTGGCTTTAATTTGTTCTTTTATTTATGGAGTAGGTCTTCCAAAGGGACAAAAATATTGTATTCATTAGGTAATTAAACCTGTAAGGGTCATACAGCCCTTAAGGAAATAAGAGGGAAGGGGGAGTAATCTAATTTGTTCCAAGGAAGGTATGGTAGCTCCAATTACTTGTAACAAACTTCCTTCACCAACATAATGGCACCTGTTCCCACCCCCCTCCTTCCTTTTGAAGGAGCCTGTGAAGAGCATTATAAAACAGTGCTCACATGAAAGGTGTAACAAATGAATTATGAAAATAAATTCAGAACATAAAATAATGAACAAGATATACTGTGCTTAAAAAGCAATTAATAGTACAGTGCCAGTAATAAAGTTTATTTAAAAAATTATTAAGAGTGATCCAGCACAATAATGAAAGCTGACATGAAAAAGTTATAGAATTTATAAATTTGAAAAAATTCAATAAAATTATTTCAATTAATCTGGAGGGGTAGGGGGTCCTTCACTACTAAGCATTATGGTACTGACAGATTTGCATGCATCTACAGATAAACTAAAAATAAACCTATGCTAATGATTTCTAAAAGTTAAACATAGAAAATAAGGTAAATAACCCCTTTATATAAGCAAAAAATTTTCAATAATATTCAGAGAAGGACCCACAACACTTACACGCAAGAGTGGCGTGTCCTCCGTCTAGGGAAGAAAAAGGGTTAAGTAGTACCCGTTGAAAAAAAACCCAAATAAGTTTATTTTAAATAATTTAAAAAAAGGGGAAAAAGGGAAAATTAAAAATTAGAAAATTTAAAAAAACAGTCATAAACTGTTTAAAAGGGCTTATAGGGGAAGTATAAAGGGGAAAAAAGAAAATCCAAAGTAATTAAAAAGGGGGGGGTTAAGGAATGGGGGGGAACCTTTTGGGGAAAAAGGGATAGGCCCCCAAAATTTTTTAAAAAAAAAGAAAAAAAAAATTAATAAAAATTTAAACAATTTGAAAAAACCTTTGAGGCTTATAACGTTTTACTGGGGTTTTTTAGATTTTTAAAATAAATTTTTAAAAAATCTGGGGGAAAAAGCTTGGGCCCTGAAGAATGGGTTATTTAAAATTTAAAGTCAAAAAAAAATTGCAGAAAAGTTAATAAAAAAAAAATTTTTTTTTTTTTTTTAAAAAAATAGGTTTGGGTTTTTTCTATTTTTTTTGGTTTTTTTTTAGTTTCTTGGTCTCAATAAATAAAAATATTACAAAATTAATATTTTATTTTTTTAAAATGAAAAAGGTCCTTAATTTAGCAAAATTTCAAAATTCAAACCCAAAAACTTAAAAAGAAAAATCGTGCCCCTTTTGAAAAGAAGGGGTTTAAATATTTTTTCCCAAAATTTCCCAATAAATTTTTAAAAATTTACCTTTTTTTTCAAACAAGTTGCATAACAAAAATAGGAAAAAAAACAAGGGGAAAGCAAAAAATAAAAGGGCCGGGGAACTAAAATATAGGGAAATAATTTTATGAAAGTTTTTTTTTAAATTTAACCCATTTTAAAATTTTTCTCTTTTAATTTTGTTTTCAAAATTGAAAAATTCAAAATTTGATGGAATTAATTTAAAAGGGTTTTCTTGACCCATTCAAGAAAAAATATTTAGGAAAAATTTTTTTTTTTTGGGGCCTGACGGGGAAATTGGGCCGAAAATTAAAGGGGCAAAATGTGAAAATGGGGGAGAATTTGGAAAGAAAATTCCGTAAAAGTTTTTTAAATTTTAAAATTTTTGGGTTTTTAAGTCGGAAAGGTTTCCTTTTTTAAAAGAGAAAATAATTTTTTTTTTTTAAAGGGAAAACATTTTAAAAGAGGGTTGATAAAGGGGTTAAGATTTTCCAGAGTAGAAAACATTTAACAGGCTTCCATTCACATTGCCTTTTGGGGAAAATAATCTTTGGGTTTCTTACTTTTTTAACGTATTTTATTTTATTTTTTTTTTTTTTTTTTTTAAAAAAGTTGGTCGTCCCCACCGAGGAGGGGGGCCCAAAAAAAGAAAAACCCCAAAAAAAAATACTTTCATCATATTCAACCTTTCACCAACTCACACATTTTTCACTGTTTTGCAGAGGTGCCCAGATAACATTTAGAACATATAGTATAGAATACACAACATATCCCCAACTGCCAATTCCCCAAAAAACCCCCTTTTAAAGTGCAGGGATTGATTCCCCTTTCCAGGACTAAAATCCGACTAATGAAAAAAACCCGGTTTCCCCGAATCCCTTCACTAAAATTCCCTGCTCACACTCCAACAGATCGTCAGGGCCCAAGTACTTCTCTCCATTCACTCCTATTAACACGTATGCACGCTTGTGGGGGAAATCCAAGCCCCCGCCCCCAAAAAAAACCCCCTTTACCCCCCCTTTCCAACCCTTTCGAGGCGACCCCCACCCCTCTTTCCCTTTCCCCCTTTGTTTTTTTTTTTCCTGTCATTTTTCTTGATCCATTTCTCTAAATGACCCAAAACCCCCCTCAACAAACCCCCTTTTTGCCCCTGCAATGCTTTTATTAAACCCCCCCTTCTCCTAATTTCCATCCGATTTTTGCATAATATTTCACCCACATTGCCCTTAGACAGGACTCTCCCCTGCCTCCAAACGTCTCCTTGCGCTCATTTACCACCAAGCTTCAACCCCCTTAAAGGGTTGGTACTACTACTTTCATAATTTCCCCCCTTTGCCCCATAGAAACTTTTTTGGGTCCACATATACTCAATGCACCCCCACTTTTTTCCCTATCAATTTTGATTTAAATCATCCTTCAAAATCCATCCCCCCACACGTCAATCCCAAGTATCTGAAAACATTCACTTTTCCCTTCTCCTCCTCCCCCAAATTTTATACAATTTTTCTTTTGTAAATCTTTTAACCCTCATCACCTTTCTTTTCTATGTTCACTTTAACTTTCTACCTTTACACACATTCTCAAACTCATCCACTAACCTTTGCAATTTTTCTTTAGAATCTCCCATAAGCACAGTATCATCAGCAAAAAGTAACTGTGTCAATTCCCATTTTGAATTTGATTCCCCATAATTTAATCCTACCCCTCTCCCGAACACCCTAGCATTTACTTCTTTTACAACCCCATCTATAAATATATTAAACAACCATGGTGTCATTACACATCCCTGTCTAAGACCTACTTTTACCGGGAAGTATTCTCCCTCTCTTCTACACACCCTAACCTGAGCCTCACTATCCTCATAAAAGCTCTTTACAGCATTTAGTAACTTACCACCTATTCCATAAACTTGCAACATCTGCCACATTGCTCCTCTATCCACTCTATCATATGCCTTTTCTAAATCCATAAATGCAATAAAAATTTCCCCTACCTTTATCTAAATACTGTTCACATATATGCTTCAATGTAAACACTTGATCTACACATCCCCTACCCACTCTGAAGCCTCCTTGCTCATCCGCAATCCTACATTCTGTCTTACCTCTAATTCTTTCAATTATAACCCTACCGTATACTTTTCCTGGTATACTCGGTAAACTTATTCCTCTATAATTTTTACAATCTCTTTTGTCCCCTTTCCCTTTATATAAAGGGACTATACATGCTCTCTGCCAATCCCTAGGTACCTTCCCCTCTTTCATACATTTATTAAACAAAAGTACCAACCACTCCAACACTATATCCCCCCCTGCTTTTAACATTTCTGTCATGATCCCATCAGTTCCAGCTGCTTTACCCCCTTTCATTCTACGTAATGCCTCACGTACCTCCACCACACTTACATTCTGCTCTACTTCACTCCTAAAAGATGGTATACCTCCCTGGCCAGTGTATTTTATACCTAGAATAAAATTTCAGTCAGTATAGCCTGGGTACTTCATTATAATCATGTACAATGAGGCTACAAAGAAAGAATTGGTCAATTATAAATAAATTACACTGAATTTATATCAGTTCAATGACCAGCACATTATGGAGTGGTTGAATCAGGGTGTTGAAATTGAAATCAAAGCATGAGAATTTACACTCAATGGCTATAATCTTTTCTTCTTTCTTTTAATGCAATGGCCGTATCTCACTGAAGCAGAGTGGCCCAAAGAGAAAAACAAGTTTCTCTTTATAAATTTAGTAATATATACAAGAGAGGGGTTACTAGCCCCTTGCTCCCGGCATTTTAGTCGCCTCTTACGACACGCATGGCTTAGGGAGAAAGAATTCTGTTTCACTTTCCCATGGAAATAAGAGGAAATAAAAAAGAACAAGAACTAGTAAGAAAAGAGAAGAAAACTCAGAGGGGTGTGTGTGTATATATATGTTTGTACATGCATGTGTAGTGTGACCTAAGTGTAAGTAGAAGTAGCAAGATGTACTTGAAATCTTGCAAGTTTATGAGACAGAAAAAAGACACCAGCACTCCTACCATCATGCAAAAATTACAGGCCTCTGTTTTACACTCACTTGGGATGACAGTAGTATCTGCCTGAGTGGTTGCTGTCTACCAACCTACTACTTACGATGACTATAATTATACATATATGTACATGTATAAATATACAGTATAATGAAATTTAAATGAACAATAATTAATACTTTGCTAGATTTTTCCAGGAATAGTTTTGGAAAACATATAATTAATGCTTACATGTGGTATAGAAGCCAATGCAGTGGGTCTGAGGGCCACTAAAATCCTCATTCCCCAACCCCCTCCTCATTACATCTTATAATGATGCAGAGCTCACTGTAGTACATGTACCTACCAGCTCCTAGTATGGTCAGTCCTTCAGGTAGTGTAAGCATTTAAGCCTTATTTTTATTTAATGTTATTCAGGTACCTTCCATTGTTATTATGAACCAAATAAACACTTAAGCATTCATCTTTTTTATACTTCTTTTTATTGTACACTTGTTAGAGAGCCCAAGATTTGCACACCTCTTATTCTCTGATCTAAGGAGTTGAATACTCTGAAAGGTGATTAAAGGAACAGAATTTGATGATTTGGGAAGAAAGGATAACCAGAGGAGACATGATTATAATATAAAGGATACTCAGTGAATGATAAAGCAGATATGGATAGACAAATGTAAGGACCATGAACAAAGACAAATGGAAACTGAAAAATGCAAACAAGTCACACGGATAAGAACTTTTCAGTTTCAGGGAAGAAGGAAAGAAAGTAAGAATGAACTGGATGTGAAAATTGGGGAAACAACCCCTATACAGTTTTAAGAGTAGGCTCCAGACATCAGAAACCAATAATGCCAGTTAAGAAAGCTTAAGAGGCATGGCCAGGGACCAAGACCATCCTCACAAACAAATCTGCCAGCAAACTCATGGCACATGCACACTGTATATTATAATACTGCTGTACTTATCTTAAGATAAAATACATACTTATACTTTCACAGTTTCAAACTTTATCAGAAAACAACTGACATTTTACCTAAATAATTTTCTGACCCTTCTGAGTAGTTGAAAAATCCTACAGCAGTACAGTTAAAAAAAAAAAAACACTAATCATCTCTATCAAACAAGATATATTATGTACAACACTAATTGTTACACTACTTTTATCTGCAGCCGAGCACATGAAAACCTCATATCTAATGCCCTCTGTGACCTTTGCATTTAATATTGTACTATTCATGGCTCGCATAGTGTCCCATGGCTCAATTTGCAATGCTCTCATCTCACATACTGAGTGTCCATGGCTCAATCCCTGGCAGGGTGGAAACGTTGGTCATTTTTTCTTTACACCTGCTGTCCCTGTTCACCTAACAGTAAGTAGGTACCTGGGTGTTAGCCGACTGTTGTGAGTTGCATCCTGGGGGACAAGTCTGAAGGACCCCATTAGAAATAATTTTACAGATAATGAAGTGGCAGTTTTAATAGTGAAAGAAATAATTGGACTGTCTTAATATTTCAGTCTTGACCACTGTACAGTGGACCCTCGGTTATCGGCTGTAATCTATTCCAGAAGGTCGGCCTAAAACCAAAATGGCCAAAAACTGAAATATTATTTCCCATAAGAATTAATGCAAATCCAATTAATCCGTTTCAGACACCCAAAAATATTAAAAAAAAAAATACATTTTTTAAAGATTAACTATAGTTTTACATATACAAAACAAAGAGAACTAAATAAAATGACTAATGAAATGGACAAATGAACATTTAAATCACTTTTACCTTTACCTTGTTGGTGTATGCAAAACGGCGAGGAACGGAGAGGGAGGCAAGTTTATTGTTTGGAGACAGGACAGAATGCTTAAATATGACACTATTATTAACTCCACAGTTTATTTATCTATCACAATTCATCTAATATGACATAATAAACAATATTAATAACATACACGATACGTATATGCTCTAGAATGAATAATATGTATGTGTCATTACGTATGTGAGGACTGGTGGTGGTGGTGTTGCTGGGTTTATAAGGGCCACTGACAACATAAGCCATACATATAGTGGTGGTGGTGGCAGCTCTGCTACCACCACTATCCACACTGAAACAATTTATAAATAAGAAATATTTACACTTTATAAATAAGAAATATTTACACTTACTGTACCTTGGAGGAGATGCTGGCATTGGTTTAGGGTGGTGGAAGATAGGCAGGGTGGCATATACTGTCAGTGGCCCTATATACCTCCAACAACATTGGAGGAGTCAGTTTCGTGTCGTCCTTTTTCTATCGCTTAATTGCTTAACTTACTAGCTACACTGTTAATGCTACACTATCACTGGCTGGTGCTATAGCCTTTGTTGACTTCTGCTGCTTTAGTATCATACATATCGTAGAATCACTGAAGAAGGCACATTCTCCCCTCTCTCTTCCTCCTTTACTTTCATACTTTGCTACGGGCGGACATGTCCAATATGGCAGATAACCGAAATAACGGCAGATAACCGGAATAAAATTTCGGCCAAAAAAACGGCCAATAACCGAGGGTCCACTGTACATTAAATCTTTGGAGCAACTTGTATTAACTCGAAACGGATAGTTTTCCATTTGCTTTTTGTCACTGCATGTAAAAAGTTTTTTTTTTTTTTTGCAATACGAATATGATAGTATTTCAAAACTTGTGCGGTAAATTTAGTATATTCTTTTAATATCTAAATCAAAAGTAGCAAGTTCAATGTAACGTAATTCTGTAAAGTGACAAATTAACATCTCTAAATTATTTCTTCTCTTTTAATGGTAGTTCAGACAGTTACAGACAACATGAGGATTTTGAACACAATCTAACATTCGTATTAAAGGAAAGTATGAATTTCCTAATCATGGTATAAGTGGTAGAACAATGCTGGGTTGTCACCAAAATATGCAATTTCCAGAGGAAAAGTCATTTCATTTTGTAAAATAAACAATGTAAAGCTTGTAGTTTTACTTTGAAATCATCCTTTAAGTCTGACCTTGTAAAACTAGTTTCAGTAAACCGTTCCCTTTAGCCTTAGTTATAACTACTTTAGAAAAAGTGCAAAATCTTGGGTTAAGTGTTTGTAAACAACAAAGTCCGTTAATACAAATTTGGTCCATATCATAGCAAACAATCTATTTCTATCCACCACAATTCGGCTAATTAACCAGTCCTCTACCTTCCCCCAGAAATTTTGTCAGGTGATCAGCCATGCAGTTTTTTGTAATTAAAATTAAATAGCTACTTAAATTGAAGGATTTAATTTTGTTAGATGTTAAATACTGAACTCTATGTAGCTATGTACGTAATTTTAATACCAAATACGACAGTCGATTGTTCGTTTTATTGGTTTCCTACGTGAGCAAAACTCCTAACGAGCAGATCTCACAGGCAGGTATTGAAAGTGAAGGGCTCTTGCTCTTTAAATCTAGGAATTTTATCTCAATGATTTTTGGACTATCTTATGAAACTTGGGCAATGTAATGATGGAAAATGCTCTTAACGTTTTCACCAAAATGAAATAAATCTGAGCATAAAATATGGATTTCACTTCAAATTGATCAACACAGAAAATGTTAATTGTTTGGTTATGGTCAAAGTAAACAAAGATGTACTGTCAATTCCAAATATGCAGTCGTGAATGAGTTGAGTTTATCACAATTAATTGCAATAAGCATAACAGTTAATCCTTTTTTTTTGTGTAGGTGAATAAAGATTAAATTAATTTATATTGAATAATATTAATAATTATCAATAAATAATAATGAAAACTATAATAATAATAGTACATACAATATTTACAATACAAGAATATAATAATTTTTATAATAATAAACAATAAAAAATTACTAATGAATACTAATATAACAGACGGGTTAAAAGGCTGTCTGCTAGTGTCAGTGTTTACCACAATTAGGTGTGGTATGGCCTGGCCAACCTGTTACATAATTGTCACATTTTAGTCATTAAAGAGATCAGCTAATATATCAGTTTCATATGCTTTTATATTGAATTTAATGTCATATTAGATGAAGTGAGATATAAATAAGCTGTAACTGATTACGAAATTATTGAAGCACGAATTCCACTGGAACGGATTAATTGCATTCATTAATTTAAATGAGGAAAACGTCTTGCAAACGAAAAATCCATTTTGCGGCAAGGTCGTGGACGGATTGAACTACAAAAGTAAGGTTCCACATAATATCAGTATAAGTATAACTTCTGCTAGTTCAAAAATACATTGATAAACATACGTTTTCTCATCTGTAGCTCTTAAAACTGAAATAACACTCTCTAGCACTGATAGCACCAAATTTCGGCTAGAAGCGTCTTTACAACTTCCATTTCTGTAATCGAGTGTTTTGTCTCTGATAAATTGACAGCTTGACCTCACTGAGCACTTTTTAGATTCACGTGACATTCATTTAATTCAAGTACATACATGATTGCGAAATTATTGCAGCCACAGGTGATGATTGATTACATAAAACTATCTTTTCCACTTATTGCCACTATATTGGGGGGCCCGTGGCCGGTGCAAAAGTCTGGACGGCTTCACACACGAGAGGCCCGGTTGTTAAGTATCCCGGCGGTGGAAACATTTCGACATTTCCTTACACCTTTGTCCTGTTCACCTAGCAGCAAAAGGTACCGGTGTTAGTCGACTGGTGTGGATCGCATCCGGGGCAAGATGAAGGACCCCAATGAATAAGTTAACAGTTCTCGATGACGCACTGACTTTCTTGGTTATCCTGGGTTCTAATCTCCGGGTTAAAAATCCGAACGAAATCTTATTATCTTCATCTTCCAGCAAAGTTGATCTCTCCAAGAGTGTCAATCATTGTCTATTCCACTGTAAAACCTGCAGTACAGGTGAATGTTAGTCTAGTTATTGATGCTGACAATGTGACTTATCAACAATGGTTTTGCTTAACATGTGGAGCAAAATTTGTATGAATCCCAACAGACTGACTTTTCTACCATAGCCGTGGTTTCCAGTGTATAAACCTGAATATAACTGCCATGGATTTCAGTTTCTTAAAGAGAATCATCAAATTTTAAAATTATTCCACATAACTTTGTAATTAAGATTCCAAATAAGCATATTTCAACAGAAAATTCATATAAAATCGTAACAAACAATAACAAGTAACGTTGCAAACCCTGCAATATCTGGAAAGTCTACTGGACTCAATTTTACAAGTCTTCATTCTTCACAAAAACACACACATTTGCTACATCTAGAAACTGTATGTGAGTGATACACAGTAAATTCTTATGTAAAATTTTTAACATGTACGTTTTACCAGACCACTTGCACACAATTTTATTTCACACTTTTTGCGACAGGATGAGGTTCATCTGATTTTGCTATGGCATTAAATTCAAATGCAAAAATACACTTTTCTTCTCATGGTATTTGGCAGATATTCTTTTGGGGGTACTCTTTTTTATTTTCCATGTCAGGATATTTGTTTTCAAAATCTCTTCATAATTTCACAGGATTTGGACTACTGTTGGTCAATATTTATTCACATTCAACATGACATACCCAACAGAGCTCAGCTTTGAAAACTTCTGCTCTATAACATATAAAGGACTAAGTTAAAAACAGATCTTGCCCCTCTCATTTCTTCAATACAAAAAATATTCCAGGAAAATTGCATGGAAGATAGACTGAATTGTGAGATGCTTCTTCAGACTTAATCTTTTAACTGGAATAACAAGTTTGGGACAACAGTGAACAATGACAAAACACTTGGGGTACCAGTAAATATTTGATTATCAAATTTTATTGCTGTTTTCTCATTAATATAAAGCACCAAAAAGTGGAGAGCTGCATTTAATGACATCTCAAAAGTATTATTATCCTACAGTTTACAGTGTATACACATACAAATGCAGTATATAAAATAATTTTATATGTATAATTGTAATTGATAATATAACTAAATTTGTACACAGAGTAATCTTAAAATATAAAACAGTTAAAACACCAACTGGACTGACTTAATATTTCAGTTCTAACCATAGTACATTACAAGCCAACAAGGATATCCTACCGAACAAGAACAAAGAGACAATCGCAACGTTATTTGGCTTACTTGAGTAATTATATTCCCTCTTTCCTCTTCTTCCTCACCAATGGTTTCCCGGCCACTCAAAGCCTTGCGCAGCTTATCCATACTTGATTTATCAAAGGTTTCTCAAATTTTTTTTCTGTAGGGACATTAAAATATTTAAAGTTAGAAAAAATTTTCATTTTCATCCCAAAAGATTACAGAAACAGCCAGACAAAGAGCCTAATTAAGCAATCTATCCTGACAACATACTTAACACTCATGTAGATCTGAATGTTGCCCGAGCTTACCAAACACTGATGCTTGACTGTCGAGCCTTCAATTTTTTTTATTATATGTATTTTTATAATTTTTTTATATAATGTAACCTATAGTAAAAAAAAGTAATTACAGGAAATAGTCAGAAAATGACCCTGAAAGTTGCAAAAGTAAACCAAAGTTGCAATATGAAGATATAATAAATTAAGTAGATTATGATCAAGTTTTTAGCCTCTAAACCATCTAATTTGGAATTAGCACTATGGAAGTATTGATGAAACAAAGTAGTACTTAACAGCTTCTGCAATATGCCTGCAGAGGTTATAAAATGGAGCACAAGTTTCAAATTACTATATTAAAAACAAAATTAGTGTAACAACACTACCTACAGCAACACAAAAGGACTCACATTGTGTAAGTGTATCCAAAATATTAAATATGATCTTTGTATTATTATTATTATTATTATTATAATAAAAAAGAAGCGCTAAACCACAAGGGCTATACAGCGTATGATCTTTATAGAATACAAAAGTGACATACTATGATGACTTAACTAGGATGATGAAGGAGCATGCAGAGATGTTCAGCATATTTTTTTACAGCGGTTTCAGTTCACCTAACAGTAAGTAGGTAGCTGACTGTTGTGGGTTGCATCCTGGAAAAGGAGGGACCCTAATGGAAATAAGCCACACTGATCGATTTGCATTGGTCACAAAATTTCTGGGTTAATACTCCAAATAAAGTCACTGTTGGTGTCATTTTACCGTTGAGTATCTCAACTAGACAAGGATGCAGACTCAGTTCCAGAGCAAGTTAAAATAAAGGGTAAGGAAACATTTCTTTATACCTGCTGTCCATGTTGAAGATGACAGAACATAGTTTTTTTTTTTTTTTTTTTTTTCAATCGTTTTGACGCCTCATAAAAGGTATATTAAGTATCTAATAAATGTTAATCCAATGAAGTCAAACGTTATTTATTCCCAGTATAAATAATCTAACGTTAACCATTCTGATAAGTAATTTTATGGAGAAATACACTACGTAACTATGAGTCTCCAAGTATGACACAACTTATGTTAATCAGTCTGTGTTTTACACCTGTGCTGTATCTTCTTGCGATACAAACCCGTAGGAGCAGCACTGACCCCGGTGGACATGATACACCTGACCAACTGAAAGAAATATATATTACAAAGAAATAAGACGGCAATATTTCTGCTACAGTATTATCTCGTAGCCAAGAATTAACGGGGTTATGAAGTTAGGAAACACCCACGAACCTTCTTTGTTGTGATTCTAGAACACACACTAGCCTTATTGCTCTTTCCTCGGCCTACTGGCTACACCAGTACATTTAGCACACACACTGATGCTAACTCCTGCAGTTACCGTGTGAATCGAGGAAATAACTGGCGGAAGTCAGCTGACACTACTACTGGTCACTGCCAGGTGGTTGTTACTGTAGTTAAGGGGTCACACTCGAGTAAGCTGTATTCAGTCTCATCTCCTTGTCTCTGGGGTTGATATATTGTCCAAAGCTGTGATGAAAGATAAAGGAAACAAGTGTAAAAAATATACATAGTATGGAGAAAAGAAGAAAGATGAACTTTGCAGCATTAACTCCGAGCTTCACAACACTGAAGTTGGTGACCGGCTCCCCATATAAAGCTGTTTAAAATATTAACACAAAAAAAGAACTAATGTTTATAGATAATTTTTGTTATTGACAGAATTAGATAAATAAGGAACAAAAAGTACTCCACAGAGTTATTAGGTAATCATGTCAACAATGTCCAGCACAAAGTAAGATGCCCATACACCCCTAAACATGGTGAATAAATCAGGATACCAGGTGGCCAAACTGGCTACTTTTTGCCAGTTTTGCTCTCAGTTACTATTTAACATGTAAACATTTTGTGGAAAATACTGTATATATTTTCCAGAAATTCAGTATTTATATGTAAATAAATGGCCATACTGTATTTAATAATATTTGTCATAGAAAACGGAAAGCCTGCGTCTGCGCAGACGGGACTCGCCATCTTGGTTTTGAATTGGATACAACGTTAATATAATGGGAAGAATTTTTCATGCTCTAGAGGTTAAAATTGGATTGACACCTCTCAAATAGGAGGCGAAATTGTTGGATGTGCATTCCTGCATAACTCGAGATATCAGACGACTGGACAAGACAGCTCCATGAAGCTCAGATAAGCTCTCTAGATTTGTGTATAATTCTGGCCAGTGTTTTCATAAATTTTGTTAGTGAGGTTTTTCTGAGTATGTTACAACTTAATATCCAGTCAAATTGGTGAGTGATATTAAGATATATTTTCCTTCTGTTATGTATATGTGAATTTATATATAATAATTTTTTAATATACAGTCCACGAATTTATGTATTTACCAGTATTCCTGGTGTATGTATATTTCATTTAATTAATAGGTCCAGAGCAACTTGTGGTTATGACAGTGGTAGGTATCGAAGGGGGACATTTTTTGCGACCTAGGTGTCCCAAATTCCTACTTGTCTATGTAACATTGATAAATAATAATTATCTTTGTTATCATTTACTGTTATGTACATAATTAGTTACATTCAGATAAATGCAATTTTCCACACATTTCACATGCAATGACAGTCTACCCGAAACCCTGGCAAATACCATAACTCTGTGTGCTGCCTGTCTAGAAGTTATTGCCACCACTTGATGGAGAATTATAAGTCCCTGCTGCCTTGTCCTGCGACGTAACTTACTGCCAACTTGTCAAGTCTTGATATCCAACTTCCACAAGACCATCGCAACTGAGCCTGCAATTCCTGATTCTTAAGTCTGACCCACGATCACCTAGCTGCTGGGTTAAGCCCTGGCACTTTTTATACGACTAAGGACACTCCTTTCCAACGCTATTTTTCGCCTGTCCCGTCTTTCCCGCTCACGCCATTGAGGTCTTATCTATACTCTCTTGATTTTGAAGTCACAATGCCGTAGTAGGAACAATGCCCTCGAAACCCTCAGTTAGAAGAACCTTGTGACGACGTTTCGGCCCATTCTGGACCATTGTCTAATCACAACAGTTATGACTTGACAACGGTCCGTGATGGACGAAAGGTCGTCATAAGCTTCCTCCCCTAAGTACCAGTCCTTGATGAATTGCACCACCGGTTGTTAACTGAACTATTACACTACGTTATTACGATCTTGAACGCCAGAACACCCAGGAATTTAAGAGGCGATTCATTCACAACTAAATAAACATTTCATCCGAAATGACAAAATCTGGCCATGACCTTGTAACATAATAAATTTAGTGTATTGCAACGTTCATGTGACTGAATTAACTACTTGCATAACTAATTAATCACTACTGTAACATAGCTGTATAGCCCTTGTGGCTTAGCGCTTCTTTTTGATTATAATAATAATAATAATAATAATAATAATAATAATAATAATAATAATACTGTAACATAATCCATTACTGGTGTAAACAATTGCTTTTCGATTATTTACAATAGCTACATTTACACAATTTACAATAATCAGAACAGTAAGTGTAACTGGCTCAATTAACTCACATCTGAGGCCTAGTCCATTATACGCTTATGTATTTAAGAAATTGTAAAATAATTTCGAACATTTAATTTTGATTGACTTTTATTATTATATTTAGGAGAGGAGCACTAAACCCGGCATGAGTGGAAACATTGGGCATATTTACTTACACCTGTTATCCCTGTTCACCTAGCAGGAAGTAGGTACCTGGGTGTTAGTCGACTGGTGTGGGTCGCATCCTGGGGGACAAGATTGATGGACCTGGAGCAGGTTTTGGGGGTTAACGCCCCCGCGGCTCGGTCTGAGACCAGGCCTCATGGTGGATCAGGGTCTGATCAACCAGGCTGTTGCTGCTGGCTGCACGCAAGCTGACGTACGAACTACAGCCCGTTTGGGTAGGTACTGACTTTAGATGCCTGTTCAGTGCCTTCTTAAAGACAGCCAGGGGTCTATTGGCAATCCCCCTTATGTATGCTGGGAGGCAGTTGAACAGTCTTGGGCCCCTGAAGTTCATTGTGTTGTCTCTCAATGTACTCGTGGCGCCCCTGCCCTTCATCTTTATTTTTATTTATTTATTTATTTATTTCCAATTTGTGCACACATACAGAGGTACAAAAAAAAAATACAGATAAGAGCAGTATGCCAAAGCCACTTATACTATGCATAGCATTACGGGCTGGCTTAAAATTAACTTAAGATTAACTAAGCAATGATTATTATTATTATTATAATCAAAAAGAAGCGCTAAGCCACAAGGACTATACAGCGCTGCTACTAAGCAATGATGAAATCAGTGATAAAACATTAATGTAAACAGATAACTATAAAGCACAAGTGAGTATTACAAAGACAGGTCATATAGTTGCATTCTGTTAGGTAGTGATTCTGTTAGGTAGTGTATTTAAAAATAATAAAGTTAGATTGGGTTTTAGGTTTAACATTTATGTGATATAATTGTGAGAAACATTTAAGATATACAATTTATAATGTTCAGTTATTCAGTATTTATTTGGTTTTGGGTGAGTAAGTAATCTTTGAGAAGAGACTTGAATTTATAAACAGGTTGTGTTTCTTTTATATTTACAGGTAATGAATTCCAGATTTTAGGGCCTTTTATGTGCATTGAGTTTTTGCATAGTGTGAGATGGACACGAGGAACATCAAAGAGTGATCTGTGCCTTGTGTTATGGTCATGTGTTCTGTTGAGGTTGGCAAGGAGATGTTTGAGGGGAGGGTTAATATCAGAGTTAAGTGTTCTATGTATGTAATAGGTGCAGTAATAAGTATGGATGTTTTGTATGGTGAGTAGGTTTAGTGTATTGAATATTGGTGGAGTGTGCTGCCTGTAGTGAGAATTTGTTATCATTCTAACTGCAGCCTTTTGTTGGGTAATTAGTGGTCTGAGATGGTTAATTGTTGTTGAGCCCCATGCACAAATTCCATAGGTGAGATAGGGGTAAATAAGAGAGTGATATAGGGCCAGGAGGGCTGACTGTGGAACATAGTACCGTATCTTCGATAGTATGCCTACAGTCTTGGAAATTTTCTTAGAAATTTGATGTATATGTGTATGAAATTTGAGTCTATTATCAAGGTGGATTCCTAAGAATTTTCCCTCGGGGAAATGTTGCCTCTCCTGCCGAGTCTTTTGCTTTCATAGGGAGTTATTTTCGTGTGCAGGTTTGGTACCAATCCCTCCAGGACCTTCCAAGTGTATATTATCATGTATCTCTCTCGCCTGCGTTCCAGGGAATACAGATCAAGAACCTTGAACCATTCCCAGTAATTTAGGTGCCTTATCGTACTTATGTGTGCCGTGAAAGTTCTTTGTACACTCTCCAGGTGTGCAATGTCGCCAGCCTTGAAGGGGGCCGTTGGTGTATAACAGTATTCCAGCCTAGAGAGCACAAGCGATTTGAAGAGAATCGTCATGGGCTTGGCGCCCCTAGTTTTGAAGGTTCTCATTATCCATCCTATCATTTTCCTAGCAGATGAGGTAGATACATTGTTGTGGTCTTTGAAGGCAAGATCCTCTGTCATTATCACTCCCATGTCGTTCACATTACTTTTCCGCTCTATTGTATGGTTAGAATTTGCCGTATACCCTGATACATTTTTAATTTCCTGAGTAGTTGAAATTTCTCCTCGTTGAACTTCATATTGTTTTGAGTGGCCTATTCGAAGATTTGGTTGATGTCCGCTTGGAGTCTCGCGGTGTCTTCGATGGAGGTCACTGCCATGGTGATCCGGGTGTCATCCTCAAAGGAAGACACGGCTTACATCTCTATGTCAGAAATGAGGATGAGGAATAGAATGGGAGCGAGTACTGTGCCTTGTGGAACAGAGCTTTTTACCGTGGCATCTGGGACTTTACTCTGTTTACTATTACTCTTTGTGTTCTATTTGTCAGGAAGTTGTAGATCCATCTACCAACTTTCTTCTGTTATTCCTTTATCACGCATTTTGGCACTTGGAAATAAGACAGTCCTCGTTGACTTTCGAATTAGGTGGAAACTTCTTGTGAAGGTTTGAAGTTAAGCCACTGAGGGTTTTGTAAGTTCTTCGAGCCATTCCATTGGTCAGAGGGTACTTGCATTTACCAATTGTTTCCAGAATCTGGTCCTCAGAATTTAAATCCGATCGGATGAGGGGGTTCTCGAGGTATGAGCGAAATAAAAACGAAAAGTAGGAAGAACAAAATTCAGACAACCACTTAAAGGTATCCCTTCGGGGATACTTAATGATGCGCTGGGTAACAGAAATCTTAAAAACCAAGAAATAGGAGTGATGATACTCTTTAAGGAACATGTATTGTCTAAATTCGAATACTGATATATAATAACACATCCCTTTTAATAAAGACGAAACCGCATACCTGTAGAATATACATCAATTCAAACACCTAAACTACTGATCAAGTAGATTGTGGTGTCTGGCTGTGTGCAGTGTAATGTAGCATAATCAGTGGACAATTTCACAATTCTGGTGAAAGACATGGAAGGAGAATTTGATAATTCGCCACATGGACGATAACGCGATAACAGTGATAAGAGCAGCAGTGGCTGTGGCCTTGAGTCTACTGTGACAACACTTGCTAGCTCGCTTACCTCTTCTTCAGAAATACAAACCACTTCTTCACTACCTCCAGGTAACACATATTTACCGCTCAGCTTGGAAGTTAAAGCTGCTGGTGTAAGTTAGAAGAAGTGGCTCTTTTGTTATCTGTTAATATCCACGAAGTTTTGCCACTGAGTATGTTAGATATAACCATGTGACAGTGCTAGTTAAGTCATGCTGGGGAACGTCTATATCCTAGCACAACCAAGCAGGGAAAATTCTAATCCCTAGCACAATCATGAAGGGGAAACGTTTATTCCTAGCACAATCATACAGGGAAACTAATAGTTACTAGCACAATCATACAGGGAAACTAGTTCCTAGCACTTCACGCAAGGCAACGATTAGTTTCTAACAGCAATTCACAGTTTTAATTAATATTAACATGTGTATCTCCCGACTGAAAAAACCTTTTGCATCTCTGAGTGTTCTAAGCTATTATTATTATTAGTAGTAGTACTATTAATTGTAGTAATAGTAGTAGAATTACTTGTTAACTTTCATACATACATACATACATACATATATATATATATATATTATATATATATATATATATATATATATATATATATATATATATATATATATATATATATATATATATTGATGCAATAGATGTATACAAAGAGCACACACCATCACAATATAATTTCTGATTTCATAGTCGTTCGTGGATAATAATAATAATTAGCATTCATCGATGGAGTATTTATGACTCCAATATTTTTTTATTATTTACCGCTGACAGGATGAGATTAGAGTGTACAATAAACTAGTTGCTAAGGCGTCTAAAAGGCAACCTAAATGACCCAGGTTCGACTCCAGGATAGGTCGTAAAGTATGGGCAAGTCGTCTTGCACGTGCTGTTGCCTCTGTTTACCTAAGCATGAAATAGGTATCCATGAGCTAGTCAGATACTGTGGGTAGTATCATAGCGAAGAATACAAACGAAACTAAACCACACTCCTTGATTTTGTATTCTTATCCTGAATTTTGTGGTCTTATCCTGGGTTAGACAGACCTAATTTTTTTTTTTTTTACATTTCTTCAGGTATGCCACGGGAGCTGACCCCAGCCCAGATCTCCGAGGCTAAGGAATGCTTCGCCATCTACGGCAAGGATGGCAGGTTACCTATACAAGATCTGGGCAACGCTCTCAGGTCACTAGCCATCAACCCTTCCAATGCTGAGATTAAAAATTTGATCCAGGAAATTGGCTCACCCTCGTCCATCAACTTCGATACATTCATGGTCTCTTGCCTACAGATTAGTTTTTCGGTGTATTTACTTGTGTGTGATCTTTGTTCTGGTCAATTTTGTATCTGTTATGGGGACGTAATTGTCAGTGTCGTTGTTCTTGTCAGTGACATACTAGTGCTGCGTTTGTAATTGAGTGTTCTTGTTCGTATTCCTTCCATGTCTGTTTGTGTGTATGTTGAAAACATTCATCAGCACTCATAATTACGTACCCGTAAACAGTATTTTCCAGTGACATTAAGGCCGTGAAACATTCTAAACATTATTTCAAAGTGGTGAAAGGAGATGGCTGGGAACAAAGGGTACACATGATAAGCACATCTTATCTACATAAAAAATCACCACTGGTAGAGATAGAAAACACTTTGCAGAACACAGACACACAGACACACACACACACACACACACACACACACACACACACACACACACACACACACACACACAAATAGGTGAGTACACACACACACACACACACACCGAATGGGTCCATGGGGGCAGACGTGGGCACACAAGGCTCCGAGAATCCTAGTGTTTTTAAGGGTGCAGTGACTGCTAACAGTAATCAGTGGTAGTGACATCGTCAGTGAGCAATAATACGAGTGATAACTAAAGTTATTAGTTAGAAAAAGTCGTGAGAAAGCCTGAAATTATCCATTATCCAAAATTATCCAAACGTTTTGGTCTATTAGGCAGCGGTAGGCCTGAAGCAGTGACGTCACGACAAGTTGTGTGCCATTATACATATAAAGTGAAGTGTATATAATGTGAAGTGTATACTATCATAAGTGAAAAGTGAAATCGCGTGAGGAACGAGGGATGTATGAGCACATTTGGTTATAATCATCACGGATGAAGGATCTCCAAAATAGGGATTTAGGCTACGTACGACGACTAGTCATCAGCATCTGGCAACTTGGCACGACCGTTGCCAGCGCAAGTATCACCTATATTGTGGTTTGCATGTCGCAGGCTTGGCTTGGCTTGGCCTTGCATCACTGTTAGATACTGGTCACTCACTCCTGCAAGCTATTACAGTAGTTATTAGTAGTAAGAACACTTAGGAAGCTAGTAAGTAAGTAAGTAAGTAAGTAAATTTATTCAGGTATACACAATACAGTTACATAGAATTATCATACATAGCAGCATATGTGTAGAGAACCTGGGATAACCCAAAAAAGTCAGACAGAGTGACTTATTTCCATTGGGGTCCTTTTACCTTATTATTATAATATAAAGGTTATAATATTTTCTTATTATTCTATAATGAAGATAACATCTTATTATCATACTAAAAAGACTATCTACTACACGAGGGTCATTAAGACTATCTACAATACGAGGGTCATTAAGACTATCTACTACCCGAGGGTCATTACGACTATCTACAATACGAGGGTCATTACTAGGGATAAGGTAAAATTTACACGTATTTTAGCTAAAAAATAGAAAATCATTCCCCTCCCTTTCTGTTGCTTCATTCATCAGACACTTTTTGGCAGTCTTCTTGAACTGGTTCAAGCTATGACTGGCCTTGACATTTGTGGGTAGTCTGTTCCATTCCTTTATTGCTGTACAATAAAAGGTGTTTGAAGCCTGGCCACTGACTGTGGGTACTACAAAGTTGTGCTCTCTCCCCCTAGTACTATGATTGCTGCGGTTCCCAACCTTGACAAAATTGACAGCAAGATATTCTGGACACTGTTTGTGAGCAATTTTATAAACATGATTTAGCTTCAGTTGTTTTACTCTGTCTTCAACATTCAGCATATCCAACTGCTGTAATTCATCTGGCCTACATGTTCTCTTGGTCCCAGCCCCAGGATGAATCTTACGATTTTGTTCTGGGTGATTTGCAGTCTATCTTTCAGTTTTTTTGTCAAGGCAGAGTACCAAGAAGAGCAAGCGTAATCCATATGGCATTGTATAAGGGCTAGACATAGGGTTTCCCGCGAGCCTCAGTAGGTAGACACTGCTTGTCTATACAGGAACTTCAGCCTGGCATTCGCTTTCTTTACTACACTGTTCCCTATCAATTCTCCTGACATGCATGGGTCAAAGGGGATTCCCAGATATTTAACTGATGAAACCAAAGTGATGGACTCCCCATTACACTGAACATTAAAATTATTTACCCTTCTCAGTTTATGTTTCGTTCCAAAGAGAATGGCTTCAGTTTTCCCTAGGTGTAATGATAGTTTGTTGTCTACTAACCATTTGCTGCAGGACTCCAGTTCCAGTGTTAAAACATTAGCAATATCTTGTGGGTCTTTACCTGTCACTAACAGAGCACTGTCATCTGCATACAGTAGGAGTTTGCACTTGACACTGATAGGCATATCATTGACATAACATAAGAATAGTAAGGGACCCAGAATACTACATTGGGGAACTCCACATGTTATCGGCAGGGGTTCTGATTCCGTTTTGTTGATTTTGACTATTTGTCTCCTGTTGCTAAGGTAGGACTTAAACCAGTCTACAGAACCTATACCGATAGATTGAAGTTTATTACATAATATATTGTGGTTGACAGTATCGAAGGCTTTTGCAGGTCTAAGGTTACCATACCTATGAGGTTCCCTTTTGACATTTCAGTTCTCAGGTAATCCATCAGATTAATAAGGGAGGTATCGGTTGAGTAGGATCTTCTAAAGCCCGATTGATAGCTATGGAGAATGCTGTTGTCATTAAGGTACTTAACTACTTGAGAATACACCGCCCTCTCCAGAATTTTAGATATTATACTGAGTATACTAACAGGTCTATAGTTGCTTACATCAGAGCTATTATTTTTCTTGAAGATAGGAGTAACTCTGGCCTCCTTGAACCCCTCCGGTACGGTATTAGTGGTGATTGATAGATTTATTATGTGAGCAATAGGGATTGACAGTTCAAAAGCACCATCTTTTAGGAACTTAGATGGGATGTTATCAGGGCCTGTGCTCTTAGTTGGGTTTAACCTGCTTAGTTCTTTTTGAATGAAGTCATGAGATACACTTACTAGTTGACAACTGTTTGGGGTTACCCCTTTATTGGTATAGTATGTTTGAAACTTATCAGAGTCTGTGTTAAAGGTATTTGATGCAGCTGGTAGTTTACTTACTAGTGTTGATGCAACAGATGTGTAGTAGGAATTAAAGCAATTTGCCACCTTAGATGTTTCGTGGCATACCTCATTATCGATAGTGAGTACTATGTTAGACCTATCTAAACGTGAACAAGGAATAGGATAATAACAGCAATAATTGATACTTAAATCCAGAAAGGACAATAAGCGAAGAGTGTAGCATTTCTAGGAAAGACAAAACAGAGAGGTATAACGGATCTACCCCCCCTAACCATCCCTCCCTAACACACACACACAAGGGCAGACACTTATTGAAGCTTTAGACCCTAGTAGCAATTATCGCTTTTTATAACCCAGAATTACTGGTATGTATTAACAGTATCTCCCCGCATACCTCCCCCATACACACATACACACACACACATACACACACATACACACACACACATACACACACATACATACACACACATACACACACACATACACACACATACATACACACACATACACACACACATACACACACACACACACACACACACACACACACACACACACACACATACACACACACACACATACACACACACACACACATACACACTGTAAGTACGTGCCGGTCAAGCCCCAGGAGGTTGGGGGTCAGGTCACAAGAAGTTGTGGGCAGCAAAGGACCACTGAGACTACATTACAATGCACAAGCCACCTACCTATCAGTACATAATAAACCCACACATAATTCCACACAAAATTACACACACACACACACACACACACACACACACACACACACACACACACACACACACACACAGCCAGGAGCTGAGTCTCGACCCCTGCAACCACAATTAGGTGAGTACACACACACATATCCAGACTCACACATACACTCCCCCCCCTCACCACCGACATCTCACTTCTTCCCCTGATCCCTCCCCTCCCTCATTCACCCTCCCCTCCCCCGTTCACCCTCCCCCTCCCCACCCCTCTCCCACATAGCCACAGTTCCTCCACTACCTCCCCCCCCACACTCTGACATACACACTACTAACCTAACATACAGAACTAATAGGTTTCCCACTCTGAGGCAATCAGGATAAAACAAAAATGGGTTGTCAGAGAGCAACAAGAAAAACCAAGGGACAGGAGGAGGAAGCTGCAAAGGAAGATTGGGCAGCAGAGCTCATAAAAAGAGATCATGAATGGGAAAAGAAACTGGAAGAACTTAGCATGAGAATGGAAGAGAGGATAGATATGGAAAGCAGGAAGTGGGAGGTGCATGTCAAAGCAGCAGAGGCTAGGATACAGAGTTTAGAAGAGGAACTGAAAAATCTGAAACAGCCTAAAGAACTAAAGAACATTTTGGGATTGACAACAGAGACTGCTACCTCAGCCACAAATAAGGGGACTGTAGGGAAAGAAGGGCACAACTGCATGGGGAAGCTCTATCAGAGGAGACTGTAGTAAATGAAAGAGCTAAGCTTTATGTGGAGGCCCTAACAGACAACAACAGAGCCCAAGGAAAGCCGAGAAGGGAAAATGACAGGCCACTGAGCCCAAGTACATTAGCCAGTGAAACTGAAGAAAAGAAAGCTGCAGTGCAGGAAACCAAACTAAGTGAGGGGATACACAGGGATACGCAGTGGGAGAATGAAAGGGTGAGGTCAGTCTTTGTGTATGGGCTCCAGGAAGTTGAAGGGGAAACATATGAAGCAAGAAAACAAGGGGAAAAAAAAGCAATTGAAAGCATCATGAAAGCGATAGGAGAAGACAACATGACCCAGTTGGAAAATTTTCGGAGAATAGGGGGGTTTGTAAAAAAAAGAACCCGGCCAGTGAAAGTGACCTTCAAGGCAGAAGTGACTCGGAGCAGGATTCTGCAGGAGAAAGCACGATTAAGGGACATGCCGGCATACAGGAAGGTGTATTTCAACCGCGACAGAACACAAGAAGAAAGGCAGAAACTGAGAGAGATGGTACAAAGGTGAAAGGAGGAAAGAGAGGGGATGGAGAAGACAGACAGGAGATCCCAGACCCAGGAAGAAGATCAAATACAGCCTCCCTCACAACTTCCTATAGAAGCCTCCCAACCAGGTCAACCCCAGTGCAACCAAACACTCTAAATCAAAACACCCATGCCACATCCAATGCCCCCACCCACTACATTACAAACTCCACCCCCACAGCAACAACCCATAGTTCCTTACCAGGTCTCCCACTTCCCAACCCCAATATACCTCCCAGACCACAGTCTTAGAAAAGAAGTTGAAGGTGTGGTATACAAATGCAGATGGAATAACAAACAAGTATGAGGAGTGGCACGAAAGAATCAAAGAGACATCCCCAGACATAATAGCACTCACAGAAACAAAACTCGCCAGAATAATAACAGATTCAATCTTTCCATCCGGATACCAAATCCTCAGGAAAGACAGAGGGAGGAGAGGGGGAGGAGGAGTTGCACTGCTCATTAAAAACCAGTGGGATTTTGAGAAAATGGAAGGAATGGATGGCATGGGCGAAAGGGACTACTTAGTAGGAACAATCCAGTCTGAGGGACATAAGGTGACGGTATAAAATACCGACAGGTTGTTAGGTAAGACACATATGCAACAGTTAGGTATCTTTATTATGAAACGTTTCGCCTACACAGTAGGCTTCTTCAGTCAAGTACAGAAAAGTTGATAGAAGCAGAAGATACTTGAAGACGATGTAATCAGTCCATCACCCTTAAAGTTTTGAGGTGGTCAGTCCCTCAGTCTGGAGAAGAGCATTGTTCCATAGTATGAAACAATATAGTATTGTTTCATACTATGGAACAATGCTCTTCTCCAGACTGAGGGACTGACCACCTCAAAACTTTAAGGGTGATGGACTGATTACATCGTCTTCAAGTATCTTCTGCTTCTATCAACTTTTCTGTACTTGACTGAAGAAGCCTACTGTGTAGGCGAAACGTTTCATAATAAAGATACCTAACTGTTGCATATGTGTCTCACATAAGGTGATAATTGCAGTAATGTACAACCCACCACAGAACTGCAGGAGGCCAAGAGAAGAATACGATGAGAGCAACAGAGCAATGATCGACACACTAGCCGAGGTGGCCAGGAGAGCACACATGGGGGGAGCAAAGTTACTAGTTATGGGTGATTTCAATCACAAGGAGATTGACTGGGAAAACCTGGAGCCCCATGGGGGTCCCGAAACATGGAGAGCCAAGATGATGGATGTGGTACTGGAAAACCTCATGCATCAACATGTTAGAGACACTACCAGAGAGAGAGGAGAGGATGAACCAGCAAGGCTGGACCTTGTATTCACCATGAGTAGTTCGGACATCGAGGGTATGCGTGCTAAAGGAATAACAGGAAAAGTCGGTCGATGGATCTATAATTTCCTCACTAACAGAACACAGAGAGTAGTCGTCAACAGAGTAAAGTCCGAGGCAGCTACGGTGAAAAGCTCTGTTCCACAAGGCACAGTACTCGCTCCCATCTTGTTCCTCATCCTCATATCTGACATAGACAAGGATGTCAGCCACAGGTCTCCAGGTAAACAGCACCGTGTCTTCCTTTGCAGATGACACCTGAATCTGCATGACAGTGTCTTCCATTGCAGACACTGCAAGGCTCCAGGCGGACATCAACCAAATCTTTCAGTGGGCTGCAGAAAACAATATGAAGTTCAACGATGAGAAATTTCAATTACTCAGATATGGTAAACATGAGGAAATTAAATCTTCATCAGAGTACAAAACAAATTCTGGCCACAAAATAGAGCGAAACACCAACGTCAAAGACCTGGGAGTGATCGGAGGATCTCACCTTCAAGGACCATAACATTGTATCAATCGCATCTGATAGAAAAATAACAGGATAGATAATGAGAACCTTCAAAACTAGGGAGGCCAAGCCCATGATGACACTCTTCAGGTCACTTGTTCTATCTAGGCTGGAATATTGCTGCACACTAACAGCACCTTTCAAGGCAGGTGAAATTGCCGACCTAGAAAATGTACAGATAACTTTCACGGCGCGCATAACGGAGATAAAACACCTCAATTACTGGGAGCGCTTGAGGTTCCTAAACCTGTATTCCCTGGAACGCAGGAGGGAGAGATACATGATTATATACACCTGGAAAATCCTAGAGGGACTAGTACCGAACTTGCACACGAAAATCACTCACTACGAAAGCAAAAGACTTGGCAGACGATGCACCATCCCCCCAATGAAAAGCAGGGGTGTCACTAGCACGTTAAGAGACCATACAATAAGTGTCAGGGGCCCGAGACTGTTCAACTGCCTCCCAGCACACATAAGGGGGATTACCAACAGACCCCTGGCAGTCTTCAAGCTGGCACTGGACAAGCACCTAAAGTCAGTTCCTGATCAGCCAGGCTGTGGCTCGTACGTTGGTTTGCGTGCAGCCAGCAGCAACAGCCTGGTTGATCAGGCTCTGATCCACCAGGAGGCCTGGTCACAGACCGGGCCGCGGGGGCGTTGACCCCCGGAACTCTCTCCAGGTAAACTCCAGGTATCATGTATGAAAGGCCCCTGGGAGCTAGTGATCATGTGGTTCTGTGCTTCAACTACATAGTTGAGCTCCAAGTGGAGAGAGTAGCAGGAATAGGCTGGGAAAAACCAAACTACAAAAGGGGGAACTACTCAGGCATGAGGAACTTCCTTCAAGACATTCAGTGGGAGAGGGAACTGACAGGAAAACCAGTACAAGAAATGATGGACTATGTAGCAACAAAATGCAAGGAGGCAGAGGAGAGGTTTGTTCTCAAGGGAAACAGAAATAATGGGAAGAACAGAATGAGTCCTTGGTTCACCCAAAGGTGTAGGGAGGCAAAAACATAGGTGTACTAGAGAATGGAAAAGGTACAGAAGACAGAGAACTCAGGAAAATAAAGAAACGAATATGCACAGATAAGAAGGGAGGCTCAGAGACAATATGAAAATGACATAGCATCAAAAGTAAAGACTGACCCGAAGCTGTTGTACAGCCACATCAGGAGAAAAACAACAGTCAAGGACCAGGTAATCAGACTGAGGAAGGGTGATGGGGAATTCACAAGAAACGACCAAGAGGTATGTCAGGAGCTCAACAAGATATTAAAGAGGTATTTACAGTGGAAACCAGTAGGACTCCAGGAAATCAGAACAGGGGGGCACACCAGCAAGTGCTGGATGAGGTACATATAACCAAGGAGGAGGTGAAGAAGCTGCCATGCAAACTTGACACCTCAAAGGCGGTGGGACCAGACAACATCTCTCCATGGGTCCTTAAAGAGGGAGCAGATATATTGCGTGAGCCATTAACAAAGATCTTCAACACATCATTTGAAACTGGGCAACTCCTGAGGTATGGAAATGGCAAATGTAGTCCCAATTTTTAAAAAGGGAGACAGACATGAGGCACTAAACTACAGACCTGTATCACTAACGTGTATAGTATGCAAGGTCATGGAGAAGATCATCAGGAGGAGAGTGGTGGGGCACCTGAGAAGAAACAAGTGTATAATTGACAACCAGCACGGTTTCAGGGAAGGAAAATCCTGTGTCACAAACCTACTAGAGTTTTATGACAGGTGACAGAAGTAAGACAAGAGAGAGAGAGGGGTGGATCGACTGCATATTTTTGGACTGCAAGAAGGCCTTCGACACAGTTCCTCACAAGAGGTTACTGCAAAAGCTAGAGGATCAGGCACACATAACAGGAAAGGCACTGCAATGGATCAGAGAATACCTGACAGGGAGGCAACAATGAGTCATGGTACGCGACGAGGTGTCAGAGTGGGCGCCTGTGACAAGCGGGGTTCCACAAGGGTCAGTCCTAGGACCTGTGCTGTTCTTGGTATATGTGAACGACATAACGGAAGGGATAGACTCAGAAGTGTCCCTGTTTGCAGATGATGCAAAGTTAATGAGAAGAATCAAATCGGATGAGGATCAGGCAGGACTACAAAGAGACCTGGGCAGGCTACAAGCCTGGTCCAGCAACTGGCTCCTTGAATTTAACCCTGCCAAATGCAAAGTCATGAAGATTGGGGAAGGGCAAAGAAGACCGCAGACACAATATAGTTTAGATGGCCAAAGACTGCAAACCTCACTCAAGGAAAAAGATCTGGGGGTGAGCATAACACCGAGCATATCTCCTGAGGCGCACATCAATCAGATAACTGCTGCAGCATACGGGCGCCTGGCAAACCTACGGATAGCGTTCCGATACCTCAGTAAGGATTCGTTTAAGACTCTGTATACCATTTACGTCAGGCCCATACTGGAGTATGTAGCACCAGTTTGGAAGCCACACCTAGTCAAGCACGTCAAGAAATTAGAGAAAGTGCAAAGGTTTGCAACAAGACTAGTCCCAGAGCTACGGGGATTGTCCTACGAAGAAAGGTTGAGGGAAATCGGCCTGACGACACTGGAGGACAGGAGGGTCAGGGGAGACATGATAACGACATATAAAATACTGCGCGGAATAGACGAGGTGGACAAAGACCGGATGTTCCAGAGAAGGGACACAGACACAAGAGGTCACAATTGGAAGTTGAAGACTCAGATGAATCAAAGGGATGTTAGGAAGTATTTCTTCAGTCATAGAGTAGTCAGACCGTGGAATAGCCTAGAAAGTGACGTAGTGGAGGCGGGAACCATACATAGTTTTAAGGCGAGGTATGATAGAGCTCATGGGGCAGGGGGAGAGAAGACCTAGTAGCAATCAGCGAAGAGGCGGGGCCAGGAGCTGTGAATCGACCCCTGCAACCACAAATAGGTGAGTACACACACACACACACACACTCCCTCTCTCTAGGTCCACTCCCTAGATTCATTATTCACTTTTGTAATTTTTAAATTAGCTTATTACATTGGGATGAGTGTGGGGTGAAAACAAAACTACTAAATAAATACTTTTGCTACTTCTTCATCACTAATGTAACTCTCTCTGTATCTGCAGTCACTGCTGAGCAGAGACTTCACCGTGGAGACAGCAGAAGAGCTGCGTGAGGCCTTCGGAGTGTTCGACAAAGATGGCAACGGATACATCTCAGCCTCGGAGCTGAAGCACGTACTCATGACCATGGGTGAGAAGCTATCGCAGGATGAGGTGGATATCATGATCCGTGAGGCAGACATCGATGGTGAGGGACACATCCACTACGAGCAGTTTGTCCATTTGATGTCCCCGCCTAAGTAGAGGCAGACGATGCGAGGCATCAATCACCTTTTACAGAGAATAAGGAAGGGATGGGAGGTAATGCTGTCGAAGTAGAAGCACTCAAATATATGCAAGGTGTATGTTACTAATAGCCTTACAAGTTGAAGCACCTTACTAAGAATAATACGAAAAAAACGACTAGCATCAAAGTCTGTACAGTATAATGTAGAAACTAGCATTTAAAGTTTTTTGTAAACGGGCTTATGTTATACAAATGCAAAAACCCTTTTATTTGGATTTTATAGTGTAATAGACTTATCAAAGTAATTAATAAGGAAATGCTAAAAGAGGAAACAAAATCATTTTTCTTTGTAAACTTTAGGTTTTTAAAGGCTTAATGGCCTAAAACTGCAGGGGATCATTAAGGCTAACCCATCGACACTCAAGGCACTGGAGCCCCCAGACAAGGTTTTAAGAAAATTGGCATATACACAGTATACACTTTTTTTGTGTATAGTTATACTGGAGACGAAAACATTTTTTGCCTGGAAGGACGTATAAAACAAAGAAAGTATCTGTGAGCAAAACGTAGATCTCTTATCTGTCCCTGGACCCATTACGTACTCTGTAATCTGAAATCCCTTCTAATTGTCTGATTGTGACCAGACCTACCGGGATTTCATTACCTTTTGTAAATTGGATTCTTTTCTTTGAAAATTGTGAGTTCATTCCTTTGTAAATTGGAGTTTTACTTTGTAATTTGTGAGTTCATTCCCTCTGTAATTGCCAGCTATCAAAATTTGGAGCCGTCCTGGCCAATTTTTGTACCTTGTAATTTTTGCTACCCCCCACAGGATGGGTTGGGGTGCTAATAAACATTTTAAAACAAAACTCTTTTTGGGTTTTTTATTTTTGTCAGAGTAATTTTCTGCTTTGCGGGGACAAAAAATTATATGGGCAGTTTGAGCTAGAACACTACGGGGGTTTGCTCGCGTCAACAGATTATAAAGTGTATGGTGTACGAAAAACAACAACCCCTTAACAATGATGCACCCTTATATCCCCCAGATATGAAAGCGAAAAGAGAACGCTGTATTCATCTCCTGTTCACACCCAACATGTTTTGGGAAAACAATAAAATTTTAAAAATTTCCCACTTTTAGTTTTATCAATCTCGGAAATTTCAGGGTTTTTTAGGTTTTTAACCCCAGAATAACCCCAAAGAGATCCATTTATTTGGGGCTTATTTTCCCCGTTCTTTTTTTTCCTCGAGATAGTAAGTTTATTTGGTTAGGTTACTAAGTACAGTTACATAAATTTTTGATTGAAATTTATACTTTTAAACATCGTATGTGAAATTTTTTAGGAAAAACCCCAAAAAAAATCAGACGAAGTGACTTATTTCCAATTGGGTCTTGAATATCGTATTTTTGTTTTAATGAAATTTTTAGAATGTTTTCCCCCTTAATAGAAAAAAAGTTATTACAGCAGTATTTAAGAAATATTACAGTATAAAGCATAAAAATGATGTTTAAACAAAAGCAAATCCAACAAATTACTTTAGTTTTTTTTAGTTGCTCCGCTGATTCTTATTGTTTTTATCCCTAAGTCAAAGAAAGAAAACGGAGTGGGGTGTACCCAAGAAGCAGTGTTTTTTGGTGGTTTGGGGGTTTGGGGTGTGTGTGTGTGTAGTAGTGTTGTGTGTTTATCTGCAGTGTTTCCAGTGTCCATGGCAGTACAGTGACGTTTGGGGAGGGGTGTAAGTGTGGTGTGTACTGTACCCCCACAGAAGTGTAAAACGTACTGATGCTCTCAGTGTTTTAATTAGTTCCTAAAAAAGTCTACAGTCTGTGTCAAATGGGTTTTTTTAATTCTTCTTTCTTGGAGTTGTTAAGTTCAATGGCTTTTAAATTTTCTTCTCAAAGAAAAATGGATGGGAAATTTAATACAATTAAGGTAAATTATGTGATGATGGGGGAGAATGTGGCCCATCGCTTATTTGTGCCGTAACAAGTTATCTTTTTTCTTGATAAATTTTTTGACTGAAAGAAGTTTATGCACCCCGCATATTGAAGCCTCCCTTCCTCCCCCAACCCCACAAACACACCACAACAAAAGCTGAAGATTGGGAAGGGAAAAAGAGACGCAGACAAAAATATAGTTTAGAGGGCCCAAAGGACTGAAAACCCACAAAAGGAAAAAAATCTGGGGGGTGGTAAAAACCGAGCTTCTTGAGGCGCACATCAATCAGATAATGGCAGCATCGGGGCCTGGAAAACCTACGGATAGCGTTCCCGATACTCAGTAAGGATTCGTTTAAGATTGTACACCTTTAACGTCGGGCCCCATACGGAGTAGCAGCACCAGTTTGGGGAATCCACACCTAGTAAAAGCACGTCAGAAATTAGAGAAAGTGCAAAGGTTTGCAACAAGACTAGTCCCAGAGCTACGGGGATTGTCCTACGAAGAAAGGTTGAGGGAAATCGGCCTGAAAGACACTGGAGGCCCGGAGGGGCAGGGGAGACATGATAACGACATATAAAATACTGCGCGGAATTGACGGGTGGACAAAGACGGGATGTTCCAGAGAGGGGACACAGACACAGAGGTCACAATTGGAAGTTGAAGACTCAGATGAATCAAAGGGGTGTTAGGAAGTATTTCTCAGTCATAGAGTAGTCAGGCCTGGAATAGCCTAGAAAGTGATGTGGTGGAGGCAGGAAAACCATACATAGTTTTAAGGCGAGGTATGATGAGCTGATGGGCGGGAGGGGAGGAGGACCTAGTAGAATCAGCGAAGAGGCGGGCCAGGAGCTGTGATCGGGCCCTGCAACCACAAATAGGTGAGTACACACACAACACACCAAACCCCACACACACAACCACACAAACCCCACACCACACCACACACACACCCCACACACACCCCATTAGTTTCTGCGTAATTACGTTCTCAGTTTCGTAATATTATAAAAATAAAAGATTTTTCTTTCCATAACATATTACTCGTAAATATTATTATATTTTGGGCGCACGAGTACGCTAGGACGACACAATAAGTGTGATTGTTCAACTGCTTCCCAGCATACAAAATGGGGATTATCCATTGACCCCTGGGCTGTGATTCGTAACAGCCTGGTTGATCAGGCCCTGATCCACCGCGAGGCCTGGTGACGGACTGGGCCGCAGGGGCGTGGACTCCCGACACCCCCTCCAGGTATACTCCAGGTAGTATCACATGTAATATACACGAGTTCTGAGGGAAAGCTGGTTTTTAATGGAGCTGCGGGTCGTCATACAGGGTATATACACCGAAGAACACATCTCTCAGTGTATATAATCTGACAATTTACTTTAATCCAATTTCTTTGTCCGTCAACTAAGCTAGTGGAGAGGTCAAAAAGTATGTTTTCCAGCTGTTGAAAGAGTACAAACACGATTTATATTTTTCGTGATCGTTGTCTGGATCACCTTTATGAACCACTATTTCAAAATTTCGGTTTCATGGCAAGGGCTCCGGATAAATTCAATTTCGAGATTGTTAAAACACGTTATATTATATCGGTTCTAAAACTTATTGTATTTTTACGTGCTCTCCTACCAGGAAACTGTGGTCCCTCTGACTCGAAGTGTATTTAGAGCAAAATTTTTTACTCGCTTAGTAACTTGAGATAAACTCAGTATATTTAAGAAAACCCAAAAATTTTTTAATAACGCTTTGACTCTCGTGTCACTAAATGTTTGTCTGATGACTGTTCCCTAGGTTGATAATTGTCGCCGTAGATGAAAGCTGCCCCCACAGCCCTTTCCTTTTCTCCACCTACCTGGTTGCTTACCAAGGGCATTTTGTCAGGGAGAATTCCTGAAAAGGGTTTTCGTAATATGGTGGTCTGTTTGCTAATGTCCCTATAGTGAGGTCGTGGCTCAGTTGGTAGCGCCCTCAGCTCACATACTGAGGGTCCGTGATCTGACCCCCAGTACGGGTGGAAAGGCTGGGCATGTTGCCTTACACCTGCTTTCCCCCGTTTACCTAGCAGTAAAGTAGGTTCTGCGTGTTGGGGCGACCGTTGTGGGTGACATCCTGGGTTTGGGGGCAGCTGTTATCCTACCTGAGGTAGGATAATAGCTCTTATCCTGTAAAACTGATCTGTGTTAAAAAAAAAAAACTGTCTTTTGATACAAATAGGAATGAAGTAGATGTTAGTGGCATGGTGGACCACGACAACGCCACTGTTGTTTCTGGTCTGACTCGTGGCATGTGTGACAAGGGAAATTTGACTGATGGTTCCAATAGGGTGGCACGGAAGTTAAGGTGGATTTGTAGCGGCTAACCAAGACTTAAACCTGTGGATTTTACCAAGTCTGATTTTGAGTATATTTAGCTGTAATTACTTAATTTTGCAAAGTGTTATTAGGTTGTTAATGAAAAAGTAAAATTAGAATTTCCATTCGTTAATTGGATTTATTCTATTAATGAAACAAAGTCACAAACTTTGTGATATTTATAAAAAATATTCACAAGGAACACAGTTTTTCCCAAGAAAATCATGAAAGAGCTTACAACTTTTTTTTCATGTTGCCAAATTATAAACTATTATATTTTTTATATATTTTCTAAAAAGTATCTGGGGTGGTGTGGCTGAGCTCGCCATTACTTTAGTGCACCCGGGAAGTTTCCTAATTATGGTGTTGGACCCCTGCAATATACATAGCAAATGGTTTGACCGAGTGGAACCTGCACTTCTTATGTTCCTCAGGAAACATAATGAATGTGCAACTTTGTTATATATTATAATATTATAATTATAAATTTATATTTATTATATTTATTTATATATATATATTATATTTAATATTATTATATATGCAAAATGCCCAACAGGGAAAATTGATGATAACTTAGACCCTTTTGTTTTTGGCAACAATCAACATATCATCAGGAGCTTGCAATGTTGCAGAAATGAGTAGGAGGTCCAGGGTAACGATACTGATCATTTTTTCAATAATAACAGATAAACCCAAAATGTGTGCAGAAATGAGTTGCATAACTTCTTCCACAAGTACGTCAATGTACGCGAAAGGAAAAGTGCAGAGTGCGGCTTAATTTTAATATTACAATTTCTTCAATAAACATGGGAAATTAGAGCATCCGCAGTCTAGCATTATATAAAACCTTCCGCTAAGAAACACCACTCTGAAGCCAAGCTGAAGGGGCATTCTCTTATTGCCTCAACTCAAGTT